AAACATACACACTTCTGACTTGGGTTCTAACTTCCCAGTCTTTCCTTTTAGCACATGTGCTGGACACCCCCATATGCGCACGTGTCTCAAACTAGGTTTTCGACCGTTCCACAACTCTAAGGGTGTTTTAAGAATAGACTTAGATGGTACCCTATTCAGAATGTAGGCAGCCGTTCTTAGGGCATAACCCCATAACGAAGTAGGCAATGAAAAATAACTCAACATTGATCTTATCATGTCGAGCAAAGTCCGATTTCACCTTTTGGCTACACCATTCTGCTGTGGTGTACCGAGTGCAGTCAATTGGCATAGTACACCTTCTTCAATCAAGAAATTTCAGAACTCTTGGTCTAGGTATTCTCCCCCTCGATCTGATCGAAGTGTCTTGATTGTTTTACCTAATTGTTTTTCAACTTCTACTCGGAATTCTCTAAACTTTCCAAAAATTTCAGATTTCTGTTGCATTAGGTAAACGTAACCATATCTTGAATAGTCGTCTATAAAAGTGACGTAATATTTGTAACCGCCTCTAGCTTGGATGTTTAACGGTCCACATACATCTGAATGTATCAACTGAAGGGGTTCTGTAGCTCTTTCTCCTTTCGCCGTGAAAGGCCTCTTGGTCATTTTACCTTCCAAACAAGATTCACAGACCGGAAGATCACCAACTTTTAGGTCGCGTAAAGGACCATCCTTTACCAGTCTTTGAATCCTATTTAGGTTAATATGACCAAGCCTAAGATGCCACCGATATGTGTTACTGTCGTGAGAAATCTTTTACTTTTTATTCTTAGGTTCGGTAACTCTGAACATTTCAGTATTAAGCCCTGAGTTAGGTATTGGTTTTATACAATATAAACCATCATCCAGACGTCCAGAACAACTATTTAAACCATGTCAAGAAATATGAACAAATTCATTATCAAAATAAACTTTAAATAATTGTTCAAATAACTTAGCCACAGAAATCAAATTTCTACGAATGTCTGGAATAAAATAAACATTGTTCAAAACTAAAAATTTATTTTCCCTAAATTGAAGTCTAACTTCTCCCACTGCTTTTGCCGAAACTCTTGCGCAATTGCCCACTTTCATCGTGTAGTCCCCATCGGCTAGCTTGGTGTAAGAACTAGGACTCTACAAAGAAAAACAAACATGATTAGTTGCTCCTGAATCAATTATCTAGGCCGAGGTATCGCCCTCTACTAAGCATGTTTCAAGGACTAGTAAATCTAATTTACCTTGTTCCTTTTTCTTTTTCAGCTCCTCGAGATACTTGTGACAGTTTCTCTTCCAGTGCCCTTCGCCATTGCAGTGGAAACACTTTCTTTTGGGTTTCTGTATGGGGCCTTTAGCCTTCTTGGGATAGGCTTTCCAAGATGATGCCAACTTGGGTGGCTTCATCGATCCTGGCACCATTGAGCTCCGCATCATGGAGGTGATCAATCATGTTCAAAACGTGTGCCTTGACTGAAGAACCTTTCTTCATCTTGTCATTCATGAAAGCCCTTACATCATCCAAACGAGCGTTCTCAGAGGGAGCGCCGAACATGGCTTCTAGAGACTCCATTATCTCATAAGCAGTCTCCATCTCCTCATGCTTCTTGCGAAGCACATCGCTCATACTGGCCAGCATAAAGCACTTTGCTTTGTTGTTGGCCTTGATCCAGCGATCATAAGGCTCCTTTGCGGTTTTGGATGCATTAGCCGCGGGTTCAGGAGGACATTCCTCCACTAGGAAAAATTTGTAGTCTTCGCATACCAACAGTATGTTCATGTTACTTTTTCACTTAGCATAGTTATCAACGTCTAATTTTTCAGTCGCAAGTAGTGTGATAATGGGATTCGACATATTGCTAGAAATAAATAGAATATTCATCTAATCCATTTATGTGCATGAATATCAAGGCATGTTAATTTTGGCACAATTAAGTATGATGCATGAAGCACATGAAAAATACATAAATCATGTTTTAATATTAGGTGCCAACGATAATCTAATTTTCCACATACAAAGTGTACCTTTGGGTAGTCAAGTTATATGCCAATTAGACCGAGACTCTTCTCAATTAATAAATATAGTCAAAATATCTCATATTTTCATATTTACTAACTACCGTTATTTTCAGTCAAAATATAACCAACAGATTTGATTATATTTTATGAGTGTAACCCACCGTTTCAGATCCCATAGACTTAACTCCGGATTGCTACCTTTGGGTAGTCAATTCAGAAATACATCCTGAAATCTTATCTCTAGGAAGCCAACCTTGTTATTGATCCGGCAAGGACACTCTCCTTTAAGAGGGCAATTCAATGTCGCCGCAAAGCCCCTTTCCAGATCTCACGGTGTTGCGCTAACGGCGGAGACTAGTGGGTTGTATTGTCATACATCCCTTTCCCACTCATTATTTTGCAAATATGTATTTTGTTCGAAAAAACATCTTATGATTTTCAAATCGAAAAATAAACAATTTATTTTTCGGATATGTGAAATTCCAAAATTTAACTCTTAAATTCAATTTCACATGTTACATTATTTTGCAAATCAATTTTGCAACTAAAATCAATTTAATCATATTAAATCGATTTTAGCACAAGGTTCTTATTTTATTTTATTTTTCTAAAACCCTTTTATAATAAATAAAATAAATAATAACTAATGCGCGTATATGCATGGCATGTTATAAAACATATGAGTAGGCACATTATATCTATA